GGCACTCCTTGTAACTCACTGTCCTTATCTGCTGTTTCTTGGGTAGACGTTGCTGACAAACACAAAGACGGCTGTCAAGGAGAGGAGTGTACTTATGCTGGCGATATGGAGCTAATCTTGCAGTTTATATACGTTTCTTTTGCCTCTTTTACAGGTATTCGTGTCTTATTGACTGGTCTGCAAAGAGCCCCAGTTATAAAGGTGTTATGGAATATCTGTCGAGCCTTATTTGGACCCAACCTCAGCTGGCAGTGTTCTTCGCTTACTTCCCACCCGAGGACCGCCCTGACTCTCAAGACATCTTGTACCTAATTTGCTTCCCGCCTCAGCTTAGAGAAAAGGTACGAGATGAAATTACGAATCAGGCTAATGTACCTTCTCCGAGCGATTGAAGTTCCCGCATCACGATGATTCCTGGGCGTGACTAGGCATACGTCTCCCTCACAGGCGGGATCAGGGCGATTGATGAGGATGACATGGAGGAATTTCATCTCCAGTGAGTTTTTAGATACGGTTCATCGAGAAAAACCTATAGTACGCTGTCAAACTGACTTTGTATACCAGTAGTTTTTCTTTCAGTAGTGCTAAGAAGGGCGAGAAGGTAGTGGATTTGAAAAATCGAATTCAAAATCAAAATCGGTGAAGACTTAAAGTTAACTTTTTATTGATGGAACCTGACTCCAACTTCGACTTCAAAATTTTAATTTTCCTCTGATATGAATTTCAAATGCCATAGAAATAGGGTCATCGAAGAGGGGAGTCGCAGAAAAATCATTAAATTCTCATACAGATTATCACTGTACACTCTCTCCCCGTTCCCCGTTTCCAATTCCTCGTTCGTCGATTTGGTAACACTGTAGCAAAACAGCAAATATTGTTGCTAATAAATACATACTTTTTTGTGCTAATGAGAATTCTTTTCATCAGGTTTATAAGTGACGACCTCCATAAAGTTCAAGTTCCAGTTCGTGTCATTGACGATAAAGGACTTTCAGGAGTGAAGTTTTTCAAAACGCCGAGTTTTATAAAAGGCTCTGTGCTCTGTCAGTTGAGTTTTCGATTATCACCTCTCAAGAGAGATCTGAAGGTGAGAGGTTTTCTTGTAACTTCAGTGGTACACCTTGTCACAACTGCAATTTCTTTAGCTATTTTTGTTTAATTTCTTTTTGTTTAACGATATTAAGGATGACATTAGTTAAATTCCGATCAACAGTATGTCGAATGTATGCCCAAAGCTGACATTGTTTCTGATGAAGGGGACAATTTTGTGTGTTGATGAAACAGGAAAGAAAAAAGAATTGGTTTTATCACACATTGATGAGGTATACAAGTCGGAATGGTAGAATAATAAACATATCCGTCCTGGGCATGAAAATGTACATTATCATAAACGTAATAGGTACGTGTTACTATTTTTGTATTTTAGAAAACCCCAGTGGAGTTTTTTGGCATTCCAGTCGATGATGAAATCTTGTCAAATCCGCAAGCTACGGACGTTCTGGCGATTGGAAGACAATTCGTTGCTTCAGAGGTGTATGAAGATCTCCTTGACCGCCTTGATAAAGGCAATATAAATGAGAGGCAGGCAACAAAAAGCTTCTACGAGACTCTTGCAGGACTGAAAATCGAATTCCAAACTGAGTGCTTTGAAGCACTTGTCAGGAACCTGAGTAGCCATGGCGGATACCAACATGTGGCTGATCGACTCAAGAAAGGTAACAAAAATAAAACGTCAAGTTTTGGTCTCGGTATTACTCCTCTTTATAATTATCCTGTTCTGACTAAAGGGAAAGCCCCGACCTAGTCTTAACGCATTTTATTTTGCCGTTGTTCAGGCTTAGCCTAGGAACAAGCCAAGAGAGAGGTGAGTTCTCGAGATTTCTCGTCGGATCTCTCTTGATATCCGTAGTGAGGTCCAGCTTTAACCGAGCCAAGAATTGCGGAGGGGCTGGGGCCAGGCTTGGTTGATATGCTCTCGGAGAGGGGGTTTGTGATATATAAAGTTGATTTATTATTGGCATGTTTCTGATACTGAGGGCAGCATGCTCGCAGTCAATTTCGTATCATCTAACGTACGTTGGTTTTCGTCCTTTTAGGTAAAGATGCTGTTTGCAAATCATTGAAAACGAATCGGAAAGTGAGGAAAATTGTATCAGAAAAAGTGGAGCATAATTGGAAGAGGCTGGCAAGAGAGCTGGGGCTTACAGACGGAATAATTGAAGCGATTTCTGAGGAAAAGCAAAATGAATGTGGAGAATGCTGTTATAAAGCTCTACAAACATGGTGTGAAAATAAGGGGGCATCGGCCACGATCAGAAAAGTCATGGTCGCACTGAATAGAATAGGATTAGCGGACATCAACAACGACATTGTAGATTGTCTTAATTTAACAACAACGGCAACAACAGCAACAACAGCATTTACTTAAATACGATAAAAAAAAATCAGCAAACCTGATGTGGTCGTGTACAAACAATAAAACTAAATTCCTAACTAATTACAAGAATACTTATGCAAGATTTCTACACATTTACAGCAATAAACATTCTACATAATACACCATTATATTAGGTAAAGATGCTGTTTGCAAATCATTGAAAACGAATCGGAAAGTGAGGAAAATTGTATCAGAAAAAGTGGAGCATAATTGGAAGAGGCTGGCAAGAGAGCTGGGGCTTACAGCTTACATATATATATATACGTGGCTTAAAAATACACTTGAGTGACTTCTTAAAAGCATCAACGTCTTGAATTGATCTCATTTAATTTTCCAGAGCGTTCCACCGAGTAATTGACTTGTATGAGCATGATTTGTTGGCCATATCGGTCTTAGGTCTAGGTAACTTAAATTGCCATTTTCCTCCTGAGGTCGTAACTACTTACATACTTTTCAAAACCACAGTTCATAGCACATGGTAAAAGATGATAGTAAGCCTGATGCGCTAAGATTAATAACCGCTTCTCATACATAATATCTAACGTATTCCATTTTATTGTGGCAAGAACCTCCTTGCTTGGAGTACACCAATCCAAGTTAAATATTATTTTCGCCGTTCTATCATGTATAGATTCAAAGGTTGAGAAAAACAGTCGACCACAAGAGCCCCAAACTAACATACCATATGTCACAGACGGCAGAACAACCTTAAAATAGAAATCAGTTCTCGCCTGATTAGGCAGGAAATACAAGGATTTAAGTGAATTCAACTTCTGCGTAAATGACTTCGCTAATTCCGATACATGATGATCCCATTTAAGAGCATTGTCTATCTGAACACCTAGGCATCTTGTAGAAACAACCTCCTCGATAACATTATCACCCATCTTAATGGTATGTTTTGGCCCAGCCAATTGTCCGCGTTCACCAAGCAGCATATATTCCGTCTTGGTGGGATGTGGAGTGAGACAGTTCTCGCAACACCATGTATATAGCCTTGCTAGTACTTCATTGAACTTGGAAGCCACCAGTTTATAGGTCGGAACCGAGACATAGACGGTGGTGTCGTCTGCATACATGTGAAGCTGTGGGTCACCATCTATTCCCTCAGTGATATTGGGCAGATCATTACAGAAGATGGAAAACAGCATAGGGCCCAGCACCGACCCTTGAGGTACACCAAAAGTAACTGGCATAGCTTGAGATTCACACCCATTAATCGTCGTTACTTGCGTTCTTCCAGAGAGGTAGCCCCTATCCAGTACCATAAGTCCCCAGCTATACCAAGACTCTGAAGTTTTCGGAGCAGAATGGAGTGGGGAATCGTGTCAAACGCCTTACGAAAGTCCACAAAAACCACGCCTCCAACATGTTTCTTGTCGATCGCTTGAGGCATCTATATCAAAGTTAGACTCAGAGAGCTGATAAAATTGAAAAAAATTAGCATGCAATTGTATGGCGCGCCAAAGCGGACAAAAATACTTGTGTATGGATATATGACTTGCTTTGTAAAATATATAGTCTGCTACACAGCCGTTTTTAGGGTTGTCACGCAACGTTCCTCCCCACGTTCGTAGTGAGGAGCGTTGCATGCGTGACGACCCTAAGAACGGCTGTGTAGCAGACTATAAAATATACGACTTGTTGCGAAAATATAAAACCCATTTTTTAAAATACACAACTTGTTGCGGAAATATAAACTTGTTTTGTAAAATATAAGACTTGTTGCAGATAAGACTTGTTCGCAGTAAAAAATAATACTTTAATGGCGCCCACTGTCTGTGGTCAGCTGCTTTGCAGCAGGGCGCATGCTGATTTCTCTTGTTAGTTGTCTGCCTGCAATGACGAGTGCGATGATAATAATAATGATAATTGAATATTTATATTGCGGAAATTAACATGTGGATATGATCAAATGCGCATCACAATACTTTTCGGGGGACTTTGGCCTTCTCCGAGAAGACTAGAATGTCTATCCATTTCTTGATATTATAGAAAGGTAGCGCATTCTCCTCAGTTATTTTAAGACCTTGAGTGTTGGTCCGCCTGGGGCTCGAACCATCGACCTCGACCTTCCTCACAATAGTCCAGCGCTCTAACCAATTGAGCTAACCAGGAGGCGATGATAAGTTGAATAGAGTTATTCCTCAGTTTTTCAGCTGCTTCTTCAACTGTCACAAACAAGTTTCGTCTAACGTCCTCGCAAATTTGTTTCCAAAGTTCTAACACTCAAAGAAAAGCTCCTAACTAATCCGCTATCTTTTTTGAGGCTTGCGGAGCGGTGGGCTGTGTTCCACTTACCGCTGAACACTCAAATCGCTGGCATTGTTAAAGTATTATACTTATACAAAGTCGTATATTTTACAAAACAAGTGTTATATTTTTGCAACAAATCATATATTTTACAAAACAAGTTTATATTTCCGCAACAAGTCGTATATTTTACAAAACAAGTCTTATATATCTATACACAAGTATTTTTGTCCGCTTCGGGGCGCCATACAATTGGTAACTTAAAGGACGTGTCTGTGGACTTCATTTAATGCACTACGCACCATGTTACACACACACAACGAAAAGAGCAATCACGTGATGTCAAATATGTCATGGTCAGGAAAACATCATACCAACACTACCACGAACAAAGGCAAAATTTGCATGATTTGATCGTGAGACTTTGTCATGCGCTTTAGATCAAGAATGATAGCTAAAATTGAAAAATCTTTGGTAAATATCTGTAAAATTTGTAATTTTTCAAATGTAAGTTTGAGCTCTTTGGATACGGTTTTAAAGTCTGGCAATTTGATTTTAAAATATTTTGTGCTGCTAACCACTCAGCTCCTTGCTTTTATCCTCACTAGTGTTGCTGAACGTAAAAGCGTTAAAATTTGCTCTTCAGCATCAGTGGTCTCAAAATTGGAAATGCAGCAAAAGGAAATTTCCGAGTTGCAAGAACACTTACTTCGAAAATGAGGCCAGCTGCAAAATCCCTCTCGTGAAAATGAGTTTTATTCTATGAGAACAAAACACATTTTCTTATCAAAAGTTTCGCATATATCCACCCTTTTTAAGTCTAAAGGGGCCTTGAGCATTTCAGCGAAGTGGCTCATAGCTTCGCACTCTTTCCATTCCTGTTATAAAAAATATATTTATCAGGGACATGGTAACATGCAAATGTTATCTAAAGGTGCGTTCTTAGACCGTTAGGTTAATTTTAATAAAAGATATTCTCTAAACCTTGAACACATCAGCAGAAAACTGATAATTTAAGGCTGACGACAATTTTCGGAGCCCAAAATCCTAAAGAATATTATGCCCAAGCAAAGTAAATTTACATCTAGGTTTGGCTGTCCAGCTAAACTTACTTTTTTTAGCATCTGTAAATATTCGTCTGTGGATCAGTATTTGTATTACCAGAAACCAAGTTTAAGTCGGGAAAAGTGTACCATATTAAAATAACACACGGAAAAATTATTGTAATCATTATTCCAAGAACATGGCTTATGGTGAAATAAGTTATTGATAGAAAAAGTGAGCTACTAAATAAAAATTCTTGTATGTATTTCAAAACAACTGTGCTATTCTGCAATTTATATTAATGATCTCTCCATATCAAGCAGTGATGTACATAATTTTTTGCAGATCTATCAAACCCCTCATCTGCTCTAAGTCAAATGTTCGAAATTTCGAATTTGCTACAAAGACGAACGAGAACTATCAAGGGCAAACTGGATTTTTCTGGCCGAAAACTTTCTAAGATATTGTAGTAACGTCCGAAGTTTGCCGAATCTCAGTGGATTGCAAATAGCAAAACTTACAATAGACAGCAAAAGAAATGCTATCTTTACTTACTAACGCGCGACTAGAAATCTCAAGTATGAAGTTGACGTCGTCGTCATCCTATTCATTATCGTCGTTGTTGTATGTATTATCATCGTAATCATTATAGTCATCGTCATCATTGTTAACATCATCATCATTGTCATCGTTTACCTGTTATCATAGTCATCGTTATCATTATCGTCATTATCTTTACAATCCAAATCAGCAGTGTTTATCAACATTTTTGATTCGTCAAGCAGGCTATGAGCTGGCCAGGTTGATCGTAATTCAAAATCGGGCGAAAGCACCAGCACGCACGTACATACGCATGTACACACGCATGCACGTACAAACGCACGCACATACGCCCGTAGGCACGCACGCACATATATAAGTACGCACATACGTGCGCACATGCAAAACCTTCTGCACAAACTCTGCTGCCACAAGGGAGATTTTTGTTTCAAAACTGATGACAAGTGTGAGCCTGAGATCTATGTAATTATATTTGCTCAAAAAAGAAGTGTTTTCCAAGAGAGACTCGATACGCAAGGCCAGGGAAGCTTTTTTAATTTCAAGAGGCAACACTATTTATCCAGATGGCCTTAACGCTCGCGAAGAAATGTATTAGTTTCTAGTTATTTATCCAATTTACCTTACTTCATTTCTATTTTTGCTCACTATTTCTATTTTTATTGTTATCTCATTGTCAATCAAATTAGTTTTACATATTTCCGCTGTTACATCATACAGCTATCTATGAAGCATCACCCCAATTCTCTGTTAATTCCCACTGCACCTGAAGAAGGCTGGTTTGGCCAGCCGAAATATAGTGCTCCGTCTTAAAATTTACTTATCTACGTTGTATCGGTCTTGCCTCTATATTTATATTTCATATTCGTTATTTTGGGCCGATCAGATCATCGCTGATCCAACGTACAAGAGTAGGAGTATCGTCCACGGTTGCCTGCTGAACATTTCACAATTTTTGAACTTGTTTTAGGAAAGCTCCGATCAAAAGTATGTTGAGTGTATACCCAAAGCTAACATTTTTCTGATAAAGGGGGCAGTTTTGTGTGTTGGTGAAATAGAAAAGAAAAAAGAATGGATTTTCTCATAAATGTATGTAGAATACAAGGCGGACTTAGTAGAAAAATAAAAATTACCGTCTCGGACATTGAAACGTACATTATTATAAAACTTAGTAGGTACTTGCTTCTTTTTTGTATTTGTAGAAAACCCCCGTGGAGTTTTTTGGCATTCCAGTTAATGATGACATCTTGTTAAGTCCGCGTCCTGAGCAGCTTCTGGCGATTGGAAAACAATTCCTTGGTTCAGCAGAGGTGTATGACGATCTCCTTCGTCGTCTTAGCAGTGCCAATATGAATGACAGTTATGACAGTCACCCAATAAAAAGCTTCTATGAGGCTCTCGCGGGTTTGGAAATCGAAATTCAAGATGAGTGCTTTAAAGTTCTTATTGAGGGACTGAACGAGATTGGCGTGTACAGATTTGTGATTGAACGACTTAAGAAAGGTAACGACACTAAAAGGTGAAGCACATTCCACTTGAGTGTGCAGAGAAATCCAAAAGAACTTTGGTTCTGGTTTACTTCTTATTGTAATTGTCCTGTTCTGACCAGAGGGATGAGCCCCGACCTAGTCCTAGCGCATTTTATTTTGCCGTTGTCCAGCCTTAGCCTGGGAACAAGAGACAAATGAGTTCTCGGCGAGTTTCTCTTGATACCCCATAGTAAGGTCCAGCTTTAACCGAGCTAAGATTGCGGAGGGGCTGGGGTCAACCTTGGTTGATTTGTTGTTGGAGAGGGGATTTTTGATACAAGAAGCTGATCAGTTATTGGCATGTTTCTGCTACTGAGGGCAGCATGCTCGCTCATTTTGTATTATTCAGCATATTTTGTTTTTCTTCCTTGCAGGTAAAGATGCTGTTTACAAACCATTGAATTCGAATCCCGACGTGAAGAAAATTGTATCAGAAAAAGTGGAGCATAATTGGATGACGCTGGCGAGAGAGCTGGGGCTTACAGACGGAAAAATTGATGCGATCTCTAAAGAAGAGCATAATGAATGTGGAGAATGCTGTTAAATAGCTCTACAAAAATTTTGTGAAGAGAACGGGGCGTCGGCCACGATTAGAAGAGTCATGGTCGCACTGACTCGGATAGGATTAGACGACATCAACAATGACATTGTAGATTGTCTTAAGTTAAGGCGTCGAGCGCGTCCAGATCAAAGTTAGACTCAGGGAGTTGATAAAATTGAAAGAATTTAGCATGCAAATGGTAAATTAAAGGACGTGTTTGTGGACTTCATTCAATGCACAACGCACCTTGTTACACACACAACGAAACGAATAATCACGAGATGCCAAACTTGTCAGCTGGCTCAGGAAAACATCACACCAACACTACCATGGACAAATAAAAAATTTGCCTGATTTGAACATGAGACTTTGTCATGCGCACACATACGCAAACAATTGGCTTTAGATTAAGATTGATGGCTAAGGTTGAAAAATCTTTGGTAAATATCCGTAAAGTTTGTAATTTTTTTTAAATGTAAGTTTGAGATCTTTGGATATGGTTTTTAAGTCTGGCAATTTGATTTTAAACTACTTTTATGCTGGAGGGAGAGTTTACCAGTCAGCTCCCTGCTTTTATCCTCACAAGCGTTGCTGAACGTAAAAACATTAAGTAATTCACTCTTAAGCATCGATGGTCTCAAAAGTGGAAATTCAGGAGAAGGAAATTTCTGAATTTCAACAACACTTTCTTCGAAAATGAGGCCAGGTGCAAAATCCCTCTTTATGAGAACTAAAGACATTTTCATACCAAAAGTTTCGACTAGCTAAACTTACTCTTTTAACATATGTAAATACTCGTATGTAGATCAGTATTTGTACTACCACGAATCAAGTTTTAGTCGGAAAAATTGTACCATATGAAAATAACACACTGACAAATTGCTGTAATTCAAAGAATATGGCCTACGATAAGAGATAAAATAATCTATTAACAGAAAAAGTGAGCCACTAAATAAGAATGCTTGTATGTATTTTAAAACAACGATGCCTTTTTGCAATTTGTTTTAACGATCTCTCCATATCAAGCTGTGATGTACATAATTTTTAGCGCATTTGTCAAAGCCCTCATTTGCTCTAGGTCAAATGTTCGAAATTTCTAAATTTGCTCCAACAACGAACGAGAACTACTCAGGGTAAACTAGAATTTTCTGGCTGTAGTGACTTCCAAAGGTTGCCGAATCTCGGCGGATTGCAAATGGCAAAAATTACGATAAAAATGAGCAAAACAAATCCTATCTTTTCCCATTAACGTGCTAGTTGGTAAGGTAAGTAAGTATAAAGTTGTCGCCGTCGTCCTTGCCGTCCTCGTCGTCTTCATCCTCATCATCTTCGTTGTTGCACTTGTCATCATCACAATCATTATCGTCGTCGTCATTATTAGTGTCATCATCATCATCGTCATCGTACGCACGCACGCACGTACANGCGACGTTTACACCAAAATCAAGGAGCGGTCAAGCGTGCGAAGATGTTTTCTTTATGTTATTTTTGCGCAAAGACTAAAGACCGGCTACTTACACGAGGTCTAACCGTAACCATGGTTGTGCGCAATCAGTGCCCCTCAGGTTTTTTGTCTTTAAAGGTTGATTTAATTCGATAAATGTCTCTCCGCTGTTAGCTTTCGGCCCTCTTGACACTGTTCAAAAAAATGAATAATACTCAGATAAAAGGTTCAGCTACTGAAGCAAGGATTGTTTAGGACGCGGTTTTGTTAAACAACGGCTAAACTTTGTTTTAATAATCAAACCTAAATGTCGACACTTTCAAACATCTAAGAATTCTCATTAATTTACTCTCATTCGGCCTTTTACTTGGTACTTAAAAAATAACTTAAACCACATTTTTCTTGTTCTCTGCTTTATTGAAATAGATTTTGAAGAGGAAGAGTATAAATCCAGCCAAGAAATTCCCAATTTACACTTCCCTGTTGTACAAGCGGATATCACAGAATGCGCCACATATGCAGTAGTCAGTCGTCTCCATCTTTCCCCTGAATTCACGATTACACCAACTGGCGGTTCCTTCATCGTGCCTGAATATCCAAGTGTGAGTGTTACTATCCCGAAAAAGGCTGTAACTGCCAAAACAAGGATTCCTCTTCGAATGAAGGTACAGAACTTTCCTGGAATATAACAGACGCGAAGGGCATCTGTGTCATTGGGATAAATGTTCTTAATTATCTTTAATATTTGGTGGGGGAAATGTCGAGTCAGTTGGCAAGCGAAGTTATATCGATAAGANGCGCCTCGTTGGCTATCTATCATCTCATATCCAACGCGCGCTCGTGGAATAATTGTTAACTATTTAGTCTCCAATTTACTGAGTAGCACCCAAATGGATAACTTAATTAAAAACAAATTATAACGAGTTAATTCTATATAACAAGCAAGATAACTTACAACCAAAAGAATTAACTTGTTAAATCAACTCAGTCTATTGCAATACAAGATTAATATTCCACTTATTTGTTCCTACCAAAGTTATTGGTAGATATAAGTCGACAACTGTGTTCATGGAAGCCAGCTGCACCCGTTTGAAAGTGTTTTTGATTTATTAGAAACTTTTGTTGCGAGAGTAACCGCGATCTCTTAAAATGTACCCCTTTTTCCCCGCCACTTTTGAAGCTGCTCTTTAAGGCAAAAGCTAGTGTGTACTATTGGATGGAATGGGAAAATGGGGTAGGGGAGGGGTGGGCGTAGAAAAGTTGTTATCTTTTATGAGGAGGGCAGGGTAGCATGTGAGTATTCCTTCGGGAAGGCTAAAAAAAAAAAAGGCAATCTTAACTGTGTTGAGGAATTGGCCCTTACTGATTTTGCAAACTGAATCAGCAACGGTAACTTTAAACGTAAACGTTGGGCTAAATGTCTTTAGAAGAAATGTTTTCAGAATACCTCCGCTTGCGCGCTAAGATCGCTTGGCTTATATTCGCACGCGCCTAGTAGAGTGATCAGCGGTATGCCTCAACACGATCAAACATGGCGGTTGTTGTTGCCGAAAGTAACTCAGATCTTAGACAGCTTTTCCAAATCATGTCGCCATGCTTTACTCCAGAAGAATCAGAGAACGTTTTGCTGTCTTTAAAACAGAGTTATGGTGGGAAATTTAACTCTCTGGACAATTCCGATTTGTTGAAGTGTTTCCATCTACTAGAGAAGCATGGGTACGTGACTGAAAACAACCTCAAACTAATCGAAGACTTCATTGCTCTGAAATCGAAAAAAAGAGTACTTATTGAGGACGCTATAAAAAGTTTTAAAGCCTCTCATCCGGTTACAGCTGATCAAGAGAAGAGATTGCGTGGGCGGAACGATGAAATCACGAAAATCAACAGAAAACTGGAATCAAAAGATTCTGCAGCTTTAAACTTGTATGGGTCGTCAGGTGTAGGAAAAACAAAACTTGCAAAAGAGGTTTGCTCACAATGGCGAGGAATTTATCGTGTTTTTGATCTTAGAAAGGTAAAGGATATGAGAGCGATTTATTACAGCATATTACATATTCTAGAACTACCTGTCCCAGTGGGTTATGTTGAACTAAAGAATGTTGTGGCCAAAGTTCAAGAGAAAATTGAAGAGTTGCAGTCGAAACGAGAGGGACATGCTGTTCTGTTTATGCTGGATAATGTGGATCGATTTACTGCAGGAGAAGGAAAGGAGGGGAAGAACTTGAAAACAGCTTTTACACAGTTTTTAGAGAAGCTTTTAGCGAGCAAAGACAAAAGATCCAAATTGAAACTACTTCTTACATCAAGGACTCAATTAAGAGATTCTAAAAGGGTGGAAAATTTTGAGGTTAAGCCTCTAAAAAGATCCTTTTCGGAAAAAATTCTTTTTCCTGCGGGGACGCTTGACGTCCAACCCCATCAGATGGATAAATTTATTCAGGCCACTAAAGGATCTCCCCTTTTTCTGGAAATACTGGATCCTATTTTACGACAAGGACGGAAGTCTGTTGATGATCTCATTGTGAGACTCACTCTTACTCCAAAGAAATCAAAAGTGGAGGAAGATGCTTCAGAAAAGCCATTCGATTTTGAAGAAGATGGAGTAGACATGGTCCAGATGTTTGTAATGAGAGAATCATTTGACACACTTCCTACTGAGAGTTTAAAGGTATCTGCAGTAGTGATTTCCTTGTTTCATGGACCTTTCACTGTATTAACAGCTGCCAAAGTTCTTGGTATTGATCAGTCAGAGGCTATCGCTTTGTTAGAGGGACTTGTAGCCAGCCGAATCATTTTTGTAGTCGATGAAGAGGCAAAAGAAAGGAAGTATGACATTCACCCACTCCTACAGAAGTATGCTGATAGTATCACAAGTCAGGAAAACTTCTGTGTTCCCTACCTGGAGGCAAAGGCACGCTTTTATGAACTTTTCATGCACAGGATGGAGGAAATTGCCAAATACATAGAGCCAGACTATGTCAAAGCATTCCATTTGTTTGAGACAGACAGAGGAAACTATGAGTTCACTGTTGACATATCCCTACAGCCAGAATATTTCAGTGTTCCAGGTGAATTCCATAAAAATGCTTTGATTGCTTCCCTTTTTGAAGCAATGCTGAATGACAAACAAATTGAGGTGTTTCATTCCTGGGCTGAGAAGTGTGAAGAAGATGGAAAAACAGGTACGATCATTTAAAATAGAGTTTTCATCATGCAATCATCATTCCTATAGTTTAAAAAAATGATTTGTTTATCCTTTTTACTTTATTATTAAATGGCTGTGTCTCACAAGGACTGGGAACTACCGAATCTATGAATTTTATTGGCTGAAATCAATATTGAAAGCAGTCTAGATTTTCTCATCTAGACCGGCATCTAGACCGGTCTAGAAAAAAAGAGGTGCAAAGAATAAAAAAAATTGGCATATAAGACACAGTCATATAATAAACATCTTATTAACCAAGCTAGGTCAGTCTGTATGGGAGAATCTTGACCTCATTCGCTGGTACAGACCTCACTGCATTTGGTCTGTACTGGCGACCTCGGTCAAGATTCTCCCATACAGACCTCTCGCTCGGTTAATAAGAACTAAATATTATCAGTATGCATATTCTCCATAGTGGTCTCTGTATATTTCCTAAGGTGCTCACTAGGAGAATTTGTATAACAATCAAGAGCTACTTGAGATGATTTCCTTAATTCTCCTGACCATAATATAGGATTGAGGGGTGATATTGTAAGGAGAAATTAGATGCTGGTCACTCTTAGAGAAAAAAGTGTGCTTTAATTAGCAGAGACAATAAAGGTTGTTGGTGGAGTTTATAAATGTTAAAGCAATAGATTCTTTTCTGAAAGGCATGTCTTCCTGTAAATATTTATATTAACAAAATTTGTGTCTGACAACAAGATCTTTATGTTTGTGACCCGTACATGATGGTGGTTCTCTATCATCTCTGCAAAAGAAATCTCAAAAGTCACAAATTACATGTATGCTTGGAAAGACAAACCAGACCACCCTCTGATATTCGCTCTCCCATGGTAATGAGGTGAAGTGCTGAAGTTTAGAAGTCCTCTTACAAATGTAATCACATATTAGAATTGAGTGTTTTTCTTTTGTTTAAAAATTATGACCTTTCTCTAGTCAGCATTTTGCAGTTTTTAATTAGGCAGCAAAACTGTGGTAGATTAACATAACTTACTTGTTTATTATTACTTGATATTTGTAGGCTCTCTCACACGAGAACAGTTGAAATGCTGGGAAGCAAAGCAAGTTCTTGATGTCCATGGAACAGAGAAAGCATTAGAAGTATTGGCAACAGCTTTCTGTTCACTGGAGGAAGTTAGAGACAAATCCAGTAATTTTTTTAAGCTAACCAAAGGACTTTATTTGTATTCTGAGGGTGAGATCCTTTGGAGAAATGGAGCCTTTCAGAAAGCACTTAAAAGTTTGGAGTCATCCTTGGAGTTCTCTGAGAGTCTGCTGAAGGAGCACACAACTCTTGCAAGGTGCTACAATGCTATTGGAAATTGCTATTCCAGTCTGGAAGAAGAAGTGAAAGCACTTGAGTTCTACAATAAAGCATACAATATGCAAAAGAAACTGGCAGGCTCTGAACATCACTTTGACATTCCGATTTACAAGAATCAAATTGGAGCTGCTTATGTGGGTCAAGGAGAATTTAAAAAAGCAACCAAGTGTTACAAAGATGCCTTGAGCCTTTTAAAAGAACTCAAACTTTTAGGATCGTGGGATGAAGCACAGTTTCTAAGAAATCTTGCCAATGCTTACATTCACAGAGAGAAGTATGAAAAAGCAGTTGAACCTGCAGCTAGAGCTTATGCCATAAGGATGAAGATCCTTGAAAATCACCCCCTAACTGTGCAGAGCAAATACCAACAAGCACTGATTCAGTGGTACTTGAATGAAGATGAGAAATCTTTGCAGCTATTTCTTGAAGCATGGAAGATGGAGAAAGCACTCGATGCAGGAAACCACAGTCCAGTATGGCAAGACATTATTGCAAATGTTGAGACATTGTACGATAGTTTAAGGAAAAGAAATCGAAAGAAACAGTTTAGAAAAGAAGCTCTGGAATTTTGTGAACGTCTCTGGGAGGAGAGGAAAAGCTCAGCATTGTTTTGCTTTGATGGTTTTGATAAAGAAATAATTGACACCATTTTGCAACTTCTTGGTGACAAGAAAGACAAGTACCATATATACAAAGCAGAAAAGGAACAATTATCCGAAAGATATAGTGCTGCAAAGGAAGATTTTCAAGAAGAGTCTGATAAGACCCAAAGTGTTCCTCATCACTTACTTGCAGGTAAAAACCACCTGTATTGCAAGTTATTTTAAAATAAGAAGGTAAAGTCTTTTTATGTCAGCCAAGTGGCCCATCAGACCCATGCTTAACTCTGGTTTCTGTAGCATGAAGTGACTGGGAGTATTTCTATTCCCCCTCCCCCCCCCCCCCC